ATTTAGGTTGAAGGACATGATTACAAAAAAAAACTTAGGTGTTCAAGAATAAAGAGAGAACAATAAAAATGCTAATATCTGGATAAACATAAAATACTTTTTCCCTCTTAATATCTTTAAAATTATATGTGACTGGGTTTTTCCCCCATGGCACGTAAGGGACAACTGACTGTGTGACTGTTGAAAGTATAACACCGTATGTTGGGATTTAGAAAAAGAGGAGATGGTTAAGTATGCATGCCATAACCCTTACTGTAGTGGTTCTCAACTAGAAGAGATTTTGTCCCCCAGAGGACATTTGGCAATGTTTAGAGACATTTTTGGTCACAACTTTGGGGGGAGGTGTTACTGGCATTTAGTAGATAAGAGGCCATGAATATTGCTGAATATTCTACAATGTACAAGCTCTAGCCCAAGAATAATAGAGCTAAAATATCAACAGTGTCAAGGTTGAGAAACCCTACCCTATAGCAACCACTGGAGGAAAAAGAGAAGCCAAAACAAAAAGATATAACTGGTATACCAAAAATACTAAATAATAAAGAAGAAGGCAGGAGAAGAGGAATAAAAATCAGAGAGAACAAACTGAAAACAGATAATAAAACAGTCAACCTAAATTCTACTATATCAATAATTACATTAAATGTTAGCGTTCTAAATTGACACTGTCAACAGAAACATAATGCCACATAGGTACTTTAAAATTTTCTAGTACACATTTTATTTAATATATATCTAAAGTATTTTCATTTCAACATGCAATCAGTATAAAAATTATTAGTGAAATACTTTACATTCTATTTCTCCCATAAGTCTCCAAAATCCCTTGGACACATCAATTTGGACTAGCAACATTTCAAGGACTCAATAATCATGTATAGCTAGTGGCTACTGTATTAGCACAAGTTTAAACACTCTAGTAAAAAGGCAGAAATTGACAAAGTGAATAAAAACCAATTTACTACTGCTTAAATGCTGCCTATGAGAGATATACTTTAAATAAATAATATTAATAGATTGAAAGCAAATGAATAAAAGTAAATACATCATTCAGAGAATAAGCATACATACTATATATACACACACATGAGTATATATATTTATGAACTGAATGACAATAACAATGAAACATCAAAATTTGCAAATAAATACTGCTCAAAGGAAACATATCACTTTAAATGCTTACATGAAAAAAGATCTAAAATAAAATACCTTAAGGCTGTATCATAAGAAATTAAAACAGAAAATAAAATAAACCCAAAGTATGTTAAAGAAAGCAAATAATAAAGATAGAGCAAAAAAACCCAATGAAAATGACTAAAGTGCTTTTTATAAAGCTCACTAAAATTGACAAGCCTCTAGCTAAAAAGCTCAAGAAAAAAAAGGAGAAAGAACACAAATAATCACCAATAACAAGAATTTTTAAAAAGTTATCATCATAGATCCCATGGACATTAAAAGAATAACAAGAGAATACTTTGAACAACTTAAGCCAAAAAATTTGACAACTTAAAGAAATGGAAGCATTTCTTGAAAAATATAGCTTACCAAAATTGATAGACACAAAAGGAAACAAAAAACCAACCAGCACTATATGCATTAACAAATTTTATTTTGTTATCAAAAACTTTCCCAAAAAGAAAACTAAAGGCCCCTTGGTAACACTAGTAAATTCTATGAAACATTCAAGGAAAAACAAACACTAATCTCACACAAACTTTTTCAGAAAACAAAGAATGAGAGACCATTGCCCAATCTTTTTTATGAGACCAATATAACTCTAATACCAAAACCTGAAAAAGAAGAAAATTATAAATATCCCTCATGAATATATAAGCAAAAATCATTAATAAAATGCTAACAAATTGAATCCAACAATATATAAAAAGGAAAATACATCATGACCATGTAGGGCGAATCCCAGAGATACAAGATTGGTTTAATATTCAAAATCAATCAATATGATTCATCATGTCAATGGAATAAAAGAAAAAAAACCATGCTATCATTTTAATAGATGCAGAAGAATTTAACAAAAAGTCAATACCTCTTCATAAAAAAAGAATGAGACCTCTCAGCCAACTAGCAATAGTAAAGAATTTTCTCAACATGATAAATGACATCAATAAAAAGCTTACAGCTAACATCATACTTAATGGTGTGCATCTCTCAAGATCACAAATAAGGCAATGATGCCCACTTTCACAACTTCTATTTAATACTGTACACACACAGAGATCACAGCCATTGCAATACAGAATAAATAAATAAATAAAAAGCAAAACATCAGAAAGAAAGAAGTAAAAATGTCCTTAATGACAGATAATATGACTGTTCATTTAGAAAATCCCTCATAATCTTTAAGACAACTATTACAATTAATACATGAATTTAGCAAAATCATTAAAGACATTTGGAATCAATTTTATTCTGCTAAAACTGAGGCAGGTCTGTAAAAAAAAATTATTCTTATATACTGTAAGCAAACAATTGGCAAATGTTTAAAAAATTTTATGACCAAAAGTACAAAATATCTAAGAATAAACCTAACAAAAAATATCTAATACCTGTAATGAAAACTACAAAACATTTTGACGGAAGTTAAAGAATTAAATAAACAGCAACATATTCCATCTAATGGAGTGAAAGTTTCAGCCTTGTTAAGATGGCAATTCTCTCTGAATGAATCTATAGATTCAATGAAATCCCAGTGGAAATTTCAGCAGAATTTTTTTTTTTAGAAATTAAAAACATGATTCTAAAACATATATGGAGAAACAAAGAACCTAAGATGACTAAAATAATTTTTTAAAACAACAAAGTTGGAGAACTTACTCTATCTCATTTCAAGACTTACCATACAGTATAATATACTATAGTATAATAAGATAGTACTCAAGATAATTTGATATTGTTGAAAAGACAGAAATGTAGATGAATGGAAAAGAAAAGAAAATCCAAAACTGGACCCTCATGTATATCTGGGCAATTGATTTTTGACAAAGTTGCCAGGGCAATTCAATGAGGAGAAAAAAGTCTTTTCAACAAATGGTGTTAGGTATATGTATGAAAAAAATTAACATTGACCTTTATCTTACACCAGACACAAAAACTGACTCAAAATGGACCACATACTTCAATGTAAAACCTAAAACTACAGAACTTATAGAACAAAAATAGAAAATCTTTAGGACCCTGAGGTAGACAAAGGTTTCTTAAAATACAAAAAGCAAGAATCATTTTTAAAAATTGATGAACTATACTTCATCAAAACGTAAAATTTTGTTGAAAGGATCTGAAATCTGATACTTTTTGAGCAGTGACATGACACCACAAGTAGAAAATTCCACACCTGACCTCATGTGATGGGTCACAGTCACAACACAGGCACATAACACATGGTTTATTCAGCATTGCCAAGAGGAAAAAGACCCTCACAGCCCCCTTCAGCTGTGATATATATTTTCCATGCCTGTCCATATTTCCCCACTCAAGTACACCCACAAAATGTAATAAAATGGCACATGCGCAGGCTGGATGCACCAGCAGTAGATGCTCACGTGTGTAGTGGCTCATGCCTGTAATTCCAGCACTTTGGGAAGTGGAGGAAAGAGGATTGTCTGATTCAGGGTTCGAGACCAGCCTGGGAAACTTGGTGAGACCTCGTCTCCACAATAAATCAAAAAATTAGCCAGACATGGTGGTGTGTGCCTGTAGTTCCAGCTACTTGGAAGGCTGAGGCATAAGGATCACCTGAACCCAGAGAGTTGAGGTTGTGGAAGCCATGATCATGCTATTGCACTCTAGCCTGGGCAAAAGGTTAAGACTCCAACTCAAAAGAAAAGAAAAGAAAAGAAAAGAAGTATTTATGTTTATCTGTAACAGCATAGAAACTGGACAGCAGTATAAATGTGAAACGTCTTACAGAAGAATATGGTGTTGAGATGACTACCATATATGAACTGAAGAAATAGAAGAATAAACTAAAGTCCTATGCTGAAAGTGATGAATATAAGTTAATGAAAAACAGAAAAACACTGAATAAAGCTAAAAATGAGGCTCTCAAATACGTATTGAAAGATGGATCCATCAGCTTTACAGTGAACACATGCCACTTAATGGTATGCTGATCATGAAACATGCAAAGATCTATCGTGATGAACTGAAAATTAAAGAGAAAGAGATGACATTAATTTAAAAATCTGAAATCTAAAACACTTCTTGTCTCAGGTATTTTGGATAAAAAATATTCAACCTGTATTCATAAAACAAAAAGGCAAGTCACAGACTAGAAGAAAAATATTTACAACATACATGTATCAGATAACTGACTTGTATGCAGAACATATATATAAACTCCTATAACCCAACAAAGACAGATAGCCAAGTAATCAATGGGCAAAAATCTGAACAGACACTTTACAAAAGAAGATATATGAATAACCAACAAGTACTTGGATGTACAACATCATTAGTCATCAGGGAATCCAAATTAAAATTAAAATACGATACCACTATATATTCTTTAGAAGGCTGAAATTTTAAAAATTGACCATATCAAGTGTTAGCAAGGACATAGAGCATCTAAAACTCTCATACATTGTTACTAGCAACCACTTTAGAAACTGAAAAAAGAAGCTTCCAGATCCTACCAACTAGTTTTTCCATTTTCCTTTCTGCAAATCTTTTCGAACATAATTTGAAATATTTGGAATTACATATGTAATTTTATATCTTTTTTTAAACTTAACAGTACATTATAAGTACCCTTGATTTACATAATACAAATTATTTGGACACTCTGTTATGTTACTGTTGGTTTTGTCCAAGGCTACATGTTCTAAAAAGTTCAGTACCAAAATAGCTCACATTCACTTTGCACAGTGTGGTAGAACCAACATGGAAGGAAAGGAAATTAGTGAATTATTTTGTCTAATGGTGAAAGTGAAGCTTTCTCAGTGAAATTTACCCAATTAATCTGCCCTCTTCAAATGTATTACCTTCTGGACAGAGTCCCAGTGCTTCATAAGTAAGCAGTTCATTGACAGAGAAGCAATCGTGAAGTTCTATTACATCAATATCACTTGGTCTCAGGCCAGATTTCTCATAGCATTTTCTGGCAGCTTCTTTACTCATATCAAAGCCAACCTAAAGCCAACACCATATATAAATAAATTAAGGGTATGAAAACTGGGCCTTTTGGGCAAAAATTTTAAGAGATTCAAATATGCATAACCTTAATAGCTGTTTCTATGTTACACAGAAAGTCCAAATAAAATAATATCTAGGTGTAAAAATGTATTTATTCAATTTTGTACTAAAAAGAAAAGCATTTTAAATAAAAAATATATAAAAGACTTTCCCAAACCAAATCTTGTGCTAAATTATAAAACCTCTACCAAACAGCCGGGCACGGTGGCTCACACCTGTAATCCCAGCACTTTGGGAGGTGGAGGCAAGAGGATTGCCAGAGCCTACGGGTTCGAGACCAGCGTGGGCAACATGGAGAGCCAGCATCTCTACAATAAATTTTTTTTTTTAATTAGCTGGGCGTGGTGGCACATGCCTTTACTTCCAGTTACCTGGAAGGCTGAGCAGAAGGATCGACTGAGCCCAGCAGGTTGAGGCTGCGGTGGCTGTGAGCATGCCACTGCACTGCAGCCTGGGTGATAGAGTGAAACTCTAACTCAAAAAAAAAGCCTCTGCCAAACTACAATGTGTAGTTGTGGTAAATAAGTTGAAAAGATTTATTGACAGATTATCAGTTAGATACACTACTAAAAAAATATGAGGGAATTGCTATACAAGAATACACAAACTTCATTTAGAAGATCATATATATAGAATTCAAACCATTTTTCCAAAGTCTATGATCCTAACACTCCCTTGGTCCCAGATAATAAAATATGCAACTTAACTTTTCTTCAAGGAATAAAACAATGGTATAATGAAAAATATACTATAATCAGAAAACCTGAATATAAGTTCCAACTCTGTCACAACCTAACCGTGATCTTGAGCAAGTTACAAGAATGTTTTCAAATTCACAGCATTGTTGTAAAATTACTTTGTAAACTGTAATTTAACATATAATTGTTTGTGTGTGTATGTGTGTGTCTTCCAATATTCAACTAACTCTAGGTCTGAATTCTCATCATTTTTACTTTCTCCATTTTGTATTCAGTTTTTAATCTGGATTTTTTGAGTATTAAAGGTCAAGAAAGTTATTTTAAAACAGTCTTAGGCCAGCACAATAACTCATACCAGTAATCCCAGTGCTTTGGGAGGCCAAGTAAGGAGGATCACTTGAGGCCAGGAGTTCAAGACCAGCCTGGGCAATAGAGCAAGACCCCATTCTCTGCACAACATCCTTATTTTTCCCTTACGTCTGTCAGACTAGAGTTCTATGCACATTTAGTCAACTCAAAATAAAAATAAACATCAAATCTAGTTAATTAAAAGTTGCCAGGCCAGATGTAGTGGCTCACGCCTATAATGTCAGCACTTTGGGATGCTGAGGTAAGCGACTGCCTGAGCCCAGGAGTTTGACATCAGCCTGAGAAAACAGTGAAACCTCATCTCTACAAAAAATCAAAAATCAAAAAAATTAAAAAATTAGCCAAGTGTGTCCCAGGTACTTGGAATGCTGAGGTAGAAGGATTGCCCAGGAGGTCAAGGCTACAGTGAGTCATGATCATGCCACTGCACTCCAGCCTAGGCGACAGTGAGACCTTGACTCAAAAAAAAATAAAGAAGCAAAAAGTTATCACATAATGATGCATGCCTCTGTCATAAGAAGCATCTGTTTTTATTAGTTGTTTTCTCTTAACAGATTCTAAAGGAAGAGTTATAGTAGCACAATCTCTAGACCAATTTTTGTAGGTAAACAACTTCCAGAGCTAATGATGACATGACAGCATTTTGAAATTTTAAACAGCAAATCTTTAATCTGATTAATAAAACAGAATTATCAGACATACCACTTTAATAACACTTTTTTCTTCAAATGAACTTGGCAAATCAGTCACCATTTCTTGTGCCAAAATTTCCACAGCTTTGTGTTGCACGTTATGCTTCTGCACAAATTCTTCATTAGCCAAAACTGCCGCTGCAGCACCATCTGAAGTGGGACTAAAGGGAAGTAAAAATAATTATTTATACCCAGTATCACCTTGATCCTAGGATTTCAGACTAGGAGTCCTTTCTATATGAGAAGAAAGGCCAAATATGCTTGCTGGTCAGTGGATTGTCTTTTTTGTGATATCTACAGTTATAAATTGTACATGCATCCCACCTGAGGGCTGAACACTAAACAAGAACTTAAATGTTATCAATCACTACTTGGTCTTTGAGAGTCTCCCAAAAAGTTCTTAAAAAGAATCCCAGATTTGCCTCTGGAGATGCATAAGGCACCTTCTGGTGACTTCTGAGGACTGAGTCCAAAAAGTTACTCCTATTCTAGTACAATAAAGATTCTACTACAGATCTATCTAGCTCCAGCCTGGCTATCTCCCAAATTAACTCAATCCTGAAATCCTTTTGGAAACTGGGAAAGGGCAGAAAAGGAGATTTCAGAAAGTAGATGGTTTAGTTAAGATTCATGAGATCTCAAAATAAATCTTTTGCTTACAGCCAGCCGTTAAGGAAAGTGGCAAACACAAGAAGTCCACTGCAAGTTTAGCTGGCCTTTCTAAATGCGCAGACTCCCATATTGCAACAGATAAAAGTTGACCCAACTTGTTGATTTCCATCCCAGCCAGTATCTCCCGGGCACAACCAGGTATTAACGAGGAAACAGGCAGGAGCTATGCAGTACTCACTCAATTTTCTAGGAGACAGATATTGCCAAGCAATTTGTAAGACACAGCTATTATCATCATTAGAGCTATGATTTTTTTCCTTATATTACTTTTGCTCATAGCTATTATTACAGAGTGGAATTTCCTGTAGAAGTATACAGCAGGGAAAAACAAAATACTCAAGGGAAAAAAAAAAACCCTTTGGACTCTACTGGCCCCTTAAGCCACATTTTAATAAATAAATACAATTTAAAAAATCAGAAATTATGAATCATGAGAGAAGGAAGTAAAGTGTATTTTTCTAAGAGGAGAGAGAGTCTGTCTCCAGGCAAGAGTAGGAAGTAAGGATCCTCTAATGAAGTAATCCAGAGTGGGGACTACAGAGGTCAGAGTCTGCAAAAGTTACACCCAGATGCAGAACCTAAGGGTTAATCACAGGGGGGGGAGCAGTTACTTCTTTCTATTAAACGTTAAAATATGTTTTTCTTACCAACATTGTAAGAGAGTCAAAAAATCAAAGACTTTTTTAGATGACATCACTTCATCTAAACTGTATTCATCTTGAAACTGAGAATACCTAAATACAAAATAAATATTTGTTATAGAATGTGAGAAAGCAATTGCAATTTTTGTTGCAGAGTTAAAGACAAAATATATAGTCTTTTCACAACCCAAAGACAGAATTTTATGAAAAGTTTCAACCTTTAATAAATAAGTCATCTGAATTGAGTTTTTAAAAATCCTAATTCCAAATACCATGTGTTGTAAATAAAAAAATTGTCTGGTTTTTGTCCCAGGTTCCTGGCACAAAGCTTCTAAAACCCTTGGAATAAAATTAAATAAATAAATAAATACTGTTTTGAGTAGTAGGAAAAGTGTTTCAATGGGGGTACTGCATCAAACAGAAAGTACTTTGAAGGTGACTGAAGTTTAAACATGTAAGAATAAATACACACTTTTTTATAAATAAAAAAAGAACCCTTGGAATTTCCTGAGTGATAGGAGCCTCTGCTATGCTAATGAAGTGACTCATGGTGGGCCCCTTTTGGTCTTCAAGATGGGAGAATGACCACCAAAAAGACCAACCATGTCAATACAGGGTTGAGACTTTGAGCCAGTTCAACTTCTGATAAGAGGAAGGCTGGAGACTTGAGTTCAGTCTTATAGCCAATAATTTAATCGCGTATGCCTACATAATGCAGCCCCAATAAAAATCCTGGATGCAGAAACTGGGTGGGGCTTCCTGGTTGGTGAATATCTTGATATGATGGGAGGGTTAACATGACCTGACTCCACAGGGAGAGGCGTGAAAGCTTTGCATTGGATCCTTCAGGCCTCACTCTATGTGCCTCTTCATTTGGCTGTTCCTGATTTATATCCTTTATAATAAAACTGTAATTGTAAGTACAGCACTTTCCTGAGTTCTGTAAATCATTCTAGTGAATTATCAAACCTGAGACAATCATAGGAACTCTTGGATTTGTAGCCAGTCGGTCAGAAGTATGGGTGGCCTGGGCATACCAATTGCAGTTGATGTCCGAAGTGAGGACAGTCTTGTGGAGAACTGAGTCCTTAACTCATGGGGTCTGTGTTAAATGTGGTGGCTCATGCCATGTGAAATACATAGTTTGTGGCAAGTGGTTCATGTCAGAATGGAGCTATAGTATACTCAATTGGTGTTAGACCAGTTGGGGGTTAAAACAGAGTACTATATTTATCCTTCCCGGCAAAATTATAAAATACTAGTTCCTTAACAGCAAAATTTTTAGAGGTATAACATGCCAGAAGAAATAAAGAGAATAAAAGCAAAATTAAATGACTTGCAATTCAGTCAACTTTTGTGATGATATTATACAAGTACATTTAATGAAAGCTAATAGAGCTTTTAAATAAATGTACAAGATCTGTAACAAATTATCTGCATTCTCAAAAACCCATTTCCCTTCTGATCACTGCAAAGAAGAAACTCATTTTTATCCCCTTTGCCTCCTTGACAGTATAATCACATAGCTTCAGAAACTGCTCTGGCAAAAATAGCAACAGCAACAGATATCACAAGGGAGTTTCTAAAAACAAATTTCAACTGGCTTAGAAATTAATAAGCAATTAAAATGTTTAGAGGATAAAGCGTATGTGACTTAGATCTACTTACTAGTGTCTACATCTTTGCCTCTAAAGTTAATTTTCACCATCACCAACTTTCAAAAGTTATTTGTACCACATTCTGCACCAGGCACCAGGGACACAGACACAGTCTCTACACCTAAGGAGCTCAGTTTAAGTCCGTGGGAAAGAATTAAACAATTCTAAATACAATATGACAAATGCTATGATAGAAATGTTACTCCGGATGCTATGGAAACACATAGGACATGTATCAAATCCAGGAACCAGAAGGGGCTTCCTCTACAATATTAGACAAATAAGAAGTGGGAGAGAGAGAAATCCTGACAGAAGCAGCAACACATGCAAAGTTTCTCAAGGTAAAATAGTGCACCCGAGTGAGGGCATGAAGTTTGAGAGGGAATGTTATAGATGGACAAGGTCAAGATGGGGCCGGAGAAATGAACAGGAATCGGACCACGAAAGACCATTTTATAATGGTTACATTTTACACCGAAAACAAGGAGGCACTACTAAAGGATATTAAGCTAGGGAGTGACATCATCAGCTTTGTATCTCAGCAAGAAAGCTGAGGTATGGAAAAAAGGCTGGTAAAAAGGTATTGTCGGCTGGGCTCTATGGCTCAGCCTGCAATCCCAGCACTTTGGGAGGCTGAGGCGAGTGGACTGCCTGAGCCCGCGGGTTCAAGACCAGCCCGGGGAACTTGGCGAGACCAGGTCTCTACAGTAAATTTAAAAATTAGCTGGACGTGGTAGCGCACGCCTGTAGTTCAGGCTACTTGGAAGGCTGAGGCAGAGGGTGTTAGGTTCGGAGGGAAGCAGCACTCACCTACCCCCATCTACTCTTCCACCCACCTCCCCCTTCCCTCTCTGCCCATCTGCCCCAAGCCCACATCCGCATATCTCGCTTGAAACCTTCCAGAACCTGTCGCCAGCTGCCGAGAAGGGCCAGACAGGGACTTTCCAGCCCATGTCAGATGCGACGCTTTGTCTCCCTGCTTCGCTGCTGCCCCCAACACCCTCCCGGATACACCACCCTTAAAAACCCACACCACCCCTCCTTGGGCACGACTCCCCTGGCCCATCTTCCTGAACCACGGAACCTTGCCCTGGAGTTTCTCCCCCAATAAACGCTTGGTTTATACCGGCCCTTTGTCCTGTGCCTCTTTCGGTATCTCCAAACGTTACAGAAGGATCTGCTGAGCCCAGCAGATCGATGCTGGGGTGGCATGAGTGTGCCACTGTACTCCAGCCTGGGTGACAGAGTGAGACTCCAACACACACACACACAAAAGGCATTACCAAAAGCAGTAAACCAGTTAAAAGAGGGGGAAACAACTAAGGCAAGAATAAAGGCCTAAAGTAGGGAACTGGATGTGAAAGATGGAGGAAAGGGATGAACTCAAGAAACAGTAAGGAAGGAGAATCCCTAGGCCTTCAGATGGGACCCAATTGCATACGGAACACTGAGGAAGAAAGCATAGCCAAGGGTGACTTGTAGTTTTCTATCTTAGATAACTAAGTGTATGTTGATGTCATTCACACCAAGACGGAGAACACTGAAGGAAAAACAGAGTTGAGGGAAAATGATAAATCCTGCATAGACATGTTGACCTGAGGCACCTGTAGTATACTTAAGTGCAGACAACTAGAAGGATGTTAGAGACACAGATGTGAAGGCTCAAATGCCTTGGTCTACCCCTAATCCTGAACTACTTATCACAGATTCTCACTTCCCTGTAAAGATTCTTCTAATTTGCGAGGAAGCATTTGAGAATAGTTTCTTAATTCAACCTTCTTAAAACTATGTAATAGAGTATCTCTAATGATTAGTCAGCAAACCCAGAATTCTCTTTCTTCACTAGCCAAGCAAAACTTAGTGGAAGAGGTTAGCATCTGAAATGTCAGAGGCAAACCCAGAAGGCTACTCTTGTTTCATAGTTTTAAGTGATGAAAACGACATCCAGAAATTACATTTGCTTACTTAACATAGTTGAGAACTTATATGTAACAGGAGATCCAGGGAGCAAGGAACTTATCTGTCTTGCTCACTGTTCTATCAGCAGCAGCTACAGCAATTTCAGATAGTGGATACTGAATTTCACACAGTGGATACTGAATACATATTTATTGAATGAATAAATTCCTTAAGAAAAATGCTGTAATGAGTGGATAACTAAGTGCCTGTTACACTAGAAGCTGAGAGAAAGACTTGGAAGCTTTGATTCTCTCAGGCCAGGCAATTGCTGCACTGTCAATTACTCAGCATACTGATACAGTTCCTTACTAGATTCAGTAAGTCACAAGGATTTTTAATGGTTTTCCAAGTTTGAAGGACAAATAAATCAGCTCTAGACCATCTTTATGGGTTTAAGACCGCTTATCCTAACTGTACTATTCAGAAACAGCAAAGTTTTGTTGCACTTATACTATGCTCCCAGTACCTCTATACTACTGACACAAAAATGAGACATAATCCCTGCTCAAGAATCATCGTCATCAGAAAAGAAAAACTCATAAATAACTAACTGTGACACACAGTGTGATGCGTTATAATAGAAGTATGCAGAACACAGGTGAAGCTCATGAAAAAAGATCATTATGCCCAAGAAGCTTTAAGAAGGTGTTAAGAGAAGCAATGATATTTGGGTTGGTATTTTGATGAGTAAGTAGATATTCACAAAGCAAAAGACAGAAGAATATTCCAGCATAAGTGAAAACACAGAAGCAAGTATTATACAACACACTTGGAGAAAACCACATAACTTGGTGAGGCTAGAGACTGGGCATATCCAGGGAAGTGGTAGGAAATGAGACTTGCAAAGTTGAATGTGGCCAAATTCTAACAGGCCTGTTATCTCACACAAACGAGTTTGAATTTATCATGAAAGCAATGAGAATTCACTAAAGATTTCATAAAACCCTTAGACCTTTCACAAGATACTCTTAGAGCCGGGCTCGGTGGCTTAGCCTGTAATCCCAGCACTTTGGGAGGCTGAGGTGAGTGGATTGCCTGAGCCTGCGGGTTCGAGACCCACCTGGGCAACTTGGCAAGACCTCGTCTCTACAATAAATAAAAAAATTAGCCGGGCGTGGTAGCGCACGCCTGTAGTTGCGGCTACTTGGAAGGCTGAAGCGAAAGGATCGCCAGAGCCCAGCAGGTCGAGGAGCTGCTACTGCACTCCAGTCTGGGCAACAGAGAGGGACTCCAACTCAAAAAAAAAAAAAAAAAGATACCCTTAGATCTAGGGCATGGAATTAGATACTATTTATCAATTAGGTATATCCCAAATTCAAATATCAACTTAAAATCAGGAGAATGCAGACAATTAGAAGGATTAGGAATATGTGGTAATTATTCACTTGTGGCATAAAATGTTTCTTGTCATGGTTTTATATGTATTAAACATGGCAAATTTGTTTAACAGTTCAGAAACAATTTACTAAGCATCTGTTATGTCAGCACAGAGCACAGAATCTATGTTAAGGATCAAAAACATAAAGATAAGAGATGGCTCTTGCCCTCAAGAAAGTTATAATCAGTAGAAAGAAAAATATATATGTTTATTATTTTGCCACTACTTAAGTAGAATGAACTTGAGCAAGTTGCTCAATTTCTGTAAGGCTCAATTTTCTCATCTATAAAATGAGAATAAAAGTAGCTACCATACAGAATTCTACCATATAGAATCCTTAAATAAAACTGTACATAAAGATACTTAGCACAGTGACACATAGTTGAATTTAATATTCTTTTATTGTCTGGTGGTATTGCTTCTAGTTACGTGGCATCACTTCAATTAAATTCCCAATGAACTAATTTTACTCAACAACCATGAAATATATGCTATGAGCCAGGTATTACGCTAGGCACTAGGGATTCAAATATTATGGATTTGTAATACATTTGATGTCATTTTTCTTCAGATTTTTAAAGAATATAAACAACCATATTTTTCTACCAGAGTAAGATTTAATGACACAAAAGTAATTAAAACACATCCCAGTTACTAATATGAATTTTAAAATCATTTTAATTGATCAAAACAAACTGAAGAAAATATCAAGGAATGGCAGTAAATGGCGACTGGTTATCTCCCACAAAAATTATTAACAGCTTAAGTGATATTCTAAATATAAACAGGCCAAAAACTAGAACTGAAAAGTTATCAAAAGTTTGCTTGGGCACAAGTTTTTTATAAGAAAATATAAATAAAAGATTCTAGTGAGTACTTTGAGGTCTTGTATTTTCTTTTCAACTATAAAGTTGCATATTACACTGTAGGATGACACAGATTTTCAATATCTTATGTCTCTGAAATACTTACGGGTTATTAACTGAATGTTTATGATTTTTCCATCCAATTTTTGCAAACTGTTCAATTTTTGTTCCTGTAGAGAAAGCAAACATCTATTAGTAGGTTAATGTTTTTCTGCTGCTTATTAACAAATGTTGCAATAGTACTCAGTGTTCTGCTAAGTATTTCCATATTTTCCCCTGCATAGACAGCATCAGTACTGAAAACTTCAACACCCATCATTCACATAAATTTTTTATATTAAATTTGGATATATTTAATGAATTAAATCAACTAATAGGAATACAAGATGAAAATCATTCAAACTGGCCAATCTACTTAGGATAACTAGGGTCCAGTTTCAAAAATGAGAAAATATAGTCAGGACCACAGTGGATTTAAGGCAGGAGAACACTGCCAACGATTTTTCTAGGTATCTGCCAAACATCTCAGTGCTCCAGACTGAATGAATTGTATAACTCATACCCTCCTGGGCCTGATGAATATCTCATCTCAACTTCTTCCCTTTCCTTATGATAAGGCAGAAGGGCCTTAAAAAGAATTATAACCTGACCTGAAATATATGTGCTCATATATATGCTTTTTTAAAATTCCTTAACAGAAAATTTAAAGAATAGTGTCAGGAAAACAAAGCAAGTATACTAATGAGGTAAAACTTGTAAAAAAAAAAAAAAATTACTACTTTAAAAAAAATATAACAGGCTTTGAATTTTTCTTTGGTGCTAGAAATGGCCAAGGAAGAAAAAAATCCACTGAATGGAGGTGACAATGTTATGTCCATGAATGGCACAGTAAAGCAGAAAGTTTCTTCTGTTTTGTTTTACTCTTCTCTGTCAAGGAGGATGATATTCAGAACAGAAATGAAATATCTATAATTGAGCAAATCTTATCCCAATTCTAATAAAAAAATGAAGGCGGTAGATTCCACAATGGTGATCTTCTAACAGTAAAATGGGAATCAGGAAGAGGCCAATATGGATCAATAAGAACAAGCCAAGTCAAATCATGTATTGTCTTTTTATGATTGAATTGACAATTAGATCAAAGTAAGCATAGTAACGAGATATTAACAAGACATATTTCTCAGAACATTTTGGACAAGATAAGGAAATGTTATAGTGTGTGTTTTTTTTTGTTTTGATGTTACAGAGAAAATGAGGGTTATCCTGTCAAGTAAGTTTAGACAAAGTTAACCAAAGTTAAACAGATTTCTTTACTGTAAGACATTCAACATCTTCACTAGTGCATGTACAAAGACTGTCCAGAAGGTTAAAGTCTGAAGCATTTCCCAACATATCTGACCCATGTCATGGAACATCTATGAACTTAATGTCCCACAGAACATTCACTGGGAAACAGCAGATATTAATTAATGCATCAACCCAGAGAAAAGTTTCTAGCACTAATTTCTAACCTCAGCTGCACTGTTTTTAATATTTCTTTTTTTTTTTTTTTTGAGTTGGAGTCTCACTCCGTCACCCAGACTGGAGTGCAGTGGGCGCTCCCGGCCATCGCAGCCTCAACCTGCTGGGCTCCGGCGATCCTTCCGCCACAGCCTTCCAAGTAGCTAGAACTACAGGCACACGCTACCATGCCCGGCTAATTTTTGATTTATTGTAGTGATGAGGTCTCCCCAAGTTGCCCAGGGGGTCTCGAATCCGCGGGCACAGGCAATCCACTCACCTTGGCCTCCCAAAGGCGTGGGATTACAGGCTAAGCCACCGAGCTCAGCGTCTATTTTTAATATTTCTACCAAAAACTGAATTATAAAATTAAAGGCACTCTTGAGGCAGGAAGCCCTTTCCCCAAGCCTCATAAGGTAAAGGCCTTTCAAGGACAAAGTAGGGCTCCCCCGCCTTAGTACACTAAGATAAAAGCCTTCCTAGGATAATTAAAGAGTTCTAGCACCATAAGATAAGAACTTTCTTGAATGATACATATTAAAAAGAAATGTGGCCCCAATCTGTAATGCACAAGTGTAACTCTGCTGTAACCCTGAGCTATGAAATACCCAATCAGTCAGTATGTTACTAATATGTAAGCCTTATCGGGGGACAAGGAAGCTAAAATTTTTAAAGGCAATGCCCCCCTGCACCCGGGGCTCAGCCTTTCGATGCGAATCCGCTGAGCCGGTGCCAGCACAAATAAAGCGGCTTCCAGGGCCTCCTGTCCCGACTCTCTCTGTAAAATCCCGCTACATTTCTGGTGCATTGGCCAGGAATTGAGAGGCGGAGACGGTGTTTCCACCTCCCTTGTCGCTGGGGAATGACCCCCAGGATGCCTGAAGAGGTGATATCACCTGGTGTCAGCAGGCCATTTGATCCACTGGGGACAAGCCATCCCGGCGTCCTGGGGTGAGGACCTTGGGAGTACAATGGAACAGGTGAGGTTTCAGGAACCAGTCAAGGGAGCCACGACCATCAGGTTGGTAAGAACCCGGGTTCAATTTGGTAGACCTGCCCTTAAAAGGCAGAAGGGGAGCCTGATCACCTGCCAGAGTTGCCCAAGTAGTCCCACAGGGGGACAAAACTGTAACTGTAAGGCACTGGGCAGCGGATTGGAGACGTTGTTTGAATGTGAGTGAAGGAGAGGCCACCTGGTGGTGAAGCGAGTGCTGTAGTCCTGATTTGGTTCCGGTGGTGACCTTCACACAACTATATGGGGAGTAGATTCGGGGGCCAGTGGTGACCTTCATATGGCTAAATGGCAGGATTAAGTCCTGTAGTGGGACTGAAACCTGGTCGGAGGATTATACTGACTCACCTATTGCGAAGAAGGTACATGAAATACCTCCTGTAGTGGGAGTACGACATCCTAGGTGAAAACCTGGTTGCGGGGGGTGTTATACCGACTCGCCTATTGCCAGAGGCACCTGAAATATCCCCGCAAGGGGTATGGCTGGAGAAGGGTGAAGGGGCTGTCCAATCTTCTTACCTCCCCCATTCCTTCCTACCTTGTGTGTGATTGTCATCTTTTAGTGGGAGGAAATGAGTGGCAGAGTAAGCTTACCCCCTTAGAATGCATGGTAAAGAATTTCAAAAACAGATACTCAGGGAATTATGGTATTTAAGTTAACTCCCGGAAAGCTCTGGACCCTCTGTGAAGTAGACTGGCCTTTGTTTGCAGTGGGGTGGCCCTCTGAGGGGTCACTAGAAAAGAGACAAGTTAGTAAGGTGTTTGATGTCATTGTGGGGGATCCAGGCCACCCAGACCAGTTTCCCTACATTAACTGTTGGCAAGATGTAGTCCTCTCTCACCCACTTTGGATAAAAGTCTGTCTAGAAAACAGCTATAGAATAATGCTGGCCCAAGCAACAGCTCCCTCAAGGTGCCGACCAGAGCTGATAAAATCCATTCTGTCTGAAGAACCTAAGGAGACCCCCACCACCACCTTACATGTCATTGTACCCCTCGTTGCCACCCACACCTCCTACAACTACTGTAGCTAAAGCCCGCTTCAGAAGTTGGCCTCAGCCCAGAATCCACCCCTTCCCCAAGGTCACCCGAAATGCCCCATGGCAGCAGCTACTAGAGAGCCACCACCATTAACTCCTTACACCTCTGCAGAAAGGTTTCAGGAAAACTGCTGACACCCCCCCTCCCCATGGATGTCAAGAGGCTGTTGAGAAAAAAACAAGGAGGGCAACATACTATTATATATCAGCCCTTCGCCACCACTAACCTCCTGAGCTGGAAGCATCACACCGCCTCATATACTAAAGAACCTCAGGTGCCCAAAGAGAGCCCCAGCCAGTTTTACAAAAGGCTACGTAAGGCATTCCATCTCTACACTCCCTTTGACCCAAAGACAGCTGAAAATCGGCAAATGATTAACGCAGCTTTTGTGGGCCAAGCTAAGGGAGACATCCTGTGTAAATTACAGAAGTTAAAGAGCTTTGCTGGGATGAATGCTAGCCAACTGATAAAGGTTGCAACAAAGATATTTGTTAATTGAGACCTAGAGGCCCAAAGGGAGGCAGACAGGAAAATAAAAAAGAAAGTATACTTGCTTGCCACTGTTTTGGCAGAGCATGTACCCAGGGAGCTCCCCCACCAGGCTGAGGTTGAGGCCAGGGCCAGGGCCGAGGCTGAGGCAAACAGAGAGGCCAGCAAGAAGGGCCGCCCTACCCAGTGATAAGATTGGGGTGGAACCAATGTACTCGCTTCCAAGAGGGGCACTGGAAAAATGAATGTCCAGAGCCAAAAGATTTCTGGCCACTCCTCAAGGAAAAGGGAGAGGTCAGGTGGTTCAGGAACAATACCAGCCTGCGCCCCAACCATATGTGGCCCCTGAGAATCATTTTGTTGGCCTAGCTGCCATGGAAAACTATGGGAAAGACTAGGACAGTCCAGGCTCCATTTTACTAGGCCCCCAGGAGCCTATGGTCCAAATGACTGTGGGAGGCCGGCCCCTTAACTTCATGGTAGACACTGAGGCAGAACATTCTGTAGTAAACCAGCCTGTGGGCCCTCTTTCACCAAGACAAGCTACCACTGTGGGAGCCCTTGGTGGCCAAGCCCATCGCCCCTTTTTACAGCCCCGGTGATGTAATCTAGGGGGCCATTAAGTTGTCCATGAATTCCTGTACCTCCCAGCTTGTCCAGTGGCTTTAATGGGCCGAGACCTCTTAGGAAAGCTGCAAGCCCAAATAACCTTCTACTCCACTGTCCAGGCAGCTTTGTCCCTGGGGAATCCTGAAACAAAAATCATGACTCTTACAGTCCCCCGAGGGGAAGAGTAGTGCTTCTATAGCCTCACAGAAGAGCCATGGCAAGAACCTGAACTTCCTTTTGAGGTGCCTGGGGTATGGGCTGAGGATAATTCCCCTGGACTGGCCGGAGACATACCCCCAGTAGTAATAGAACGAAAGCCAGGGGCTGTGCCTCTCCGTCAAAAACAGTATTTCATCCCATGCAAGGCACAGGTTGGGATCCAAAAGCACCTGGAGAGACTTTTAACATACAGACTCCTCCAGCCCTGTCAGTTGTCCTGGAATACGCTGCTACTGCCAGTTCAGAAACAGGGGACAGATGATTACTGGTCGGTTCAAGATTTACGGGTAGTAAATCAAG